TGGACTGCTTGTCTGCCAATGAGCATGCTGCTCTTGACGAGTATGGTGATAATGTATGATGGTTCCATGTTAGTTCCATGTTGTGTACATAAAATTAATAAACATATGTTAATTAAGCGGAATTAAAAAAATCATAGAAAATGCCATCGAACGAATGCCAGTTATTAATTACCGGCGATTCTCACATAATTGCAAGCTGATATTTAATCATTGTATCAGCTTACACGCCCATAGCGACGATGCATGTTTCTACTCGCTGTCAAACAACTTGAAATTCGTAACGGATGCGGTATTCAGAATGACATTTTGAAAATGCGTCGGAGAAAGGAGATGTACTTCGAAAATGTCAGAAATAAAGATGGATATGTGGCAGGTGATAGAATGTACATTTGTCAAGTGGTGACATTGATTTTATATTAATTTTAGAAAATTTTAATTAATGTTGAATGTTGCATTTATGTTTAGTGAATGTTATGAGGAAAATATAATAAACTAGCTGGGACAAACGTTGGTTGGAGAATGTGGAGAAAACCTTAAAAATCTAAAACACTTTAAATAACCGCCACCATTTGGAAACAATTTGGAATTTAAATTAAAAGTAAATAAAATCAGTTAATTTTTTTAATCTTAAAAATACAAAATATAGCAGTTATATTTAAGACGTGAATCTGAAAAGTCATTACTATATTCAAATACGAAACATAAAAAAATCGTAAATAATGTAGCTAAAATCATCAAAATACCGAATATGGGGAGGTACCGATACATGGGGGCTACACGAAGACCTGTAACTGTATAGACAATTTTATTTGGAACTTTAAATACGAAATTGTAAACAACTCCGGCGAATATTCTACCTAAAATCGTAAAAATACCGAATATCGGGGCTATACGAAGAGCTGGACAAGAATTCCGGTGAATAATGTAGATAAAATCACCAAAATATCGAATATGGAGAGGTACCTATACGAAGACCAGGACCTGCATAAACTATTTTCTGTCTTTAAAATATTGAATATCGGGGGTACCGTAGCATGTTGGCTATACGATATCCCGGACCTATAGAGACATTTCTCTTTCAGGAGTAAAGTGCTTAGAAAGAACTTCTTGTGTGGATTTTCAGAGTATTCCAATGAAAAATGTAGCTAAAATCATAATTCGAATATAGGGATAGAGGATATCGTGAACCTATATAGACAATACTCTCCCAGGGGATAAAGTACTCAGAGGGAACTCTTTCTGTGGACTTTCGAAAATTTAATTTATAAAATTGTCTGCAATCATCTAAATACCGAATATCGGCTGTACCGTTTTATGGGGGCTGCATGATATCGTGAACCGATATAGCCCATCTTCAAACTTGACCTGCCTGCAGACAAAAGACTGATTTGTGCAAAATTTTAGCTTCCTATCTTTATTAGTTTTGATTCAAGCGTGATTACAAAAGACGGACGGACGGACATGGCTAAATCGTAGTAGAATTTTACGCTGAACATAAAATTATTATTTTCGATGAACGGAATGACGAATTAAATATACCCTCGATACTATGCATGGTGGAGGGTGTAAAAATTTTGTACTGGTGTCTCGGTTGGTGGTAGGTTTGTAGTGAAAAGGGGTACTTTGAATTTGGGTAAACCGATAGAGCTGGATTGCTGAATTTTGGAAATAAGATTACTAAAGTGTATAGTACACACTTTAGTACACACTTTAATTGCACGAAAAATACTAAATAGTACTAAATTTGGTATTGGTTAAAGGAATGGAGGTAAAATTCTGAAATTTTATATAGATGTCATTGTTGGTATCAGAGGTTGAGATTTGGAGATGGGTTTGGATATGGAGATGGTTTTGGAAATTTGTCCTATAATTTCTCGAAAAGTAATTCGTGGTACTAAATTTGTTATTGGGTGAAGGGATGGAGATACAATTCTGAAATTTGATAACTAGATTATTGATGGTATCTGCATTTGAGATTTGGCTGTGGTTTGCAAAAGTGTCCTATATTTGTACAAAAAGTACTAGATGGTACTAAATTTTGGTATTGGACACACCACCATTTGGACACAATTTGGAATTTAAATTAAAAATAAATAAAATCAGTTATTTTTTTTTAATGTAGCAGTTATATTTAAGACGTGGATCTGCATAGAAAAGTTTTGTCGTAGGCCATTACTATATTCAAATACGAAACTTAAAAAAAAAGTAAATAATGTAGCTAAAATCATCAAAATACCGAATATGGGGAGGTACCGATACATGGGGGCTATACGAAGACCTGTAACTGTATAGACAATTTTATTTGGAACTTGAAATTCGAAATTTTAAACAACTCCGGCGAATATTCTACCTAAAATCGTAAAAATACCGAATATCGGGGCTATACGAACACCTGGACAATTTTCTGGCACAGGCTGTAGTACCATTAGGAACTTCAAATATGAAAGAATTCCGGTGAATAATGTAGATAAAATCACCAAAATATCTAATATGGAGAGGTACCTATACGAAGACCAGGACCTGCATAAACTATTTTCTGTCTTCAAAATATTGAATATCGGGGGTACCGTTGCATGTGGGCTATACGATATCCCGGACCTTTATAGACATTTCTCTTTCAGGAGTAAAGTGCTTAGAAAGAACTTCTTGTGTGGATTTTCAGACCGTTCCAATGAAAAATGTAGCTAAAATCAGAATTCGAATATAGGGATATAGGATATCGTGAACCTATATAGACAATATTCTCCCAGGGGGTAAAGTACTCAGAGGGAAATCCTTCTGTGGACTTTCGACAATTTCCTTAAAGAACAATTGGCTGCAAACATCAAAATACCGAATATCGGCTGAACCGTTTTATGGGGGCTACATGATATCGTGAATCGATATAGCCCATCTTCGAACTTGACCTGCCTGCAAACAAAAGACTGATTTGTGCAAAATTTTAGCTTCCTATCTTTATTAGTTTTGACCCAAGCGTGATTACAACAGACGGACGGACGGAGATGGTTAAATCGTAGTAGAATTTTACGCTGAACATAAAATTATTATTTCGATGAGTAAAAAACGGAATGACGAATTAAATAAACCCTCGATACTATGCATGGTGGAGGGTGTAAAAATTTTGTACTGGTGTCTCGGTTGGTGGTAGGTTTGTAGTGAAAGGGGGTACTTTGAATTTGGGTTAACCGATAGAGCTGGATTGCTGAATTTTGGAAATAAGATTACTAGAGTGTTTTCCGATATTCTAACAATACGTGTACGAAAGGTACTAAAATGCACTAAATTTGGTACCATTTAGCATTATGTGAACGGGTAGTAGTAAAATCTTGAAATTTAGTATGAGAATCAATTCTCTGAAATGGAGTTGATATAAGGATGTGGATTGGAAATAATACTAAATTTGGTATAATTCTGTTTTGGATGAACGAAAGGATCAGGTAATTTTAAATGTTGCTATCGGGGTCCCATTTTTAGTGGCAGGTTTGTGATAAAGAGAAGATTTTTGATATGGGTAGTACAAGTGCACGAAAGGTACTAAATAGTACCACATTTGTTACAATTTGATATGAGGCTAACATATAGTGCTTTAAATTTGAAATTTGGTATCAGGGTCGCTGTTCATATGTAGCTTGGACATATGTAGGTGGTTTAGGAAATATAGTACACATTTCCCATTTGCTCAGGCTTGAACGAAAACTAAACTAAATGGTACTATATTTGGTATTGGGTGAAGGGATAGAGATACAATTCTGAAACCTGTGTTTGAGATTTGAAGGTGGCTTTGAAATGCGTCGTATAATTGTACGAAATGAACTGAATGGTACTATATCTGGTGTTGAGTGAAGGGTTTGAAATACAATCCTCAAATTTGATATAAAGGTCTCTGTTGGTAGCTGGAATTGAGATATGGTGTTGGTTTAGAAAATGTGTACTATAATTGTACTGAAAGTACTAAATTTGGTACTGATTGAAGGAATAGATATAAAATTATGAAATTAGATGTCACTTTTGTTATCTGAGATTGAGATTTGGAGATGGGGTTGGATATGGTGATGGTTTTGGAAATTGGTCCTATAATTGCTCGAAAAGTACTTAGTGGTACTAAATTTGTTATTGGGTAAAGGGGTGGAGATACAATTCTATAATTTGATATTTAGATTACTGATGGTATCTGCATTTGAAATTTGGCTGTGGTTTGGAAAAACGTTCTATATTTGAACGAAAAGTGCTAGATGGTACTAAATTTGGTATTGGCTGAAGGTATGAGGTTGGAATCCTCAAAATCGACACTAAGGTATCTGTTGGTATCTGGGCTTGGTGGTTTTGCAAATGTGTACCATAATTGTACGATAAGTACTAAATATTACTTAATTTGTTATTGGTTGAAGGGATGGGGATAAACATCTGAGATTTTCATATAAATGTCACTGTTGGTATCTAAGGTTCAGATTTGGAAGTGGGTTTGTATATGGAGGTTGGTTTTGATGTGAACAATAATTGTACGAAAAGTACTAAATGGTACTAAATTTGGTATTGGGTTGTAGTCCTCAAAATTGATATTGAGGTCTCTTTTGGTATCTGGCGTTGAGATCTGGAGATGGTTTTAGAAATGGCTACAACAATTGTACGAAAAGTACTAAATGATACTTAATTTGAGATTTTGATGGAAGGGATAGATCTGAAATCCATCCCGAAATTTGATATTGAGGACACTGTTGGTCTCTAGGGTTTACATATGAATACGTTGAAATAGTTCTTTGTGCAATGGTTTTATTAATGTTATCTACGGTAAAAGTAAAATTTTCCTATTTTTCCCCAAAAAGGGAAAACTTGAACAACATATAAAACCCCGAAAGTCTGAAATATTTGTACGATTCTTGAAGTTTTGATTAAACATTTTGGTAGAACTGTTCAAATTGTTAATTATGAGTACTAAAAAGGCCTAAATTTTCTTCTCTTCTTTTCTTAAAAATAAATCCCATTTTTAAACCTCTACTTACCCAAACAATTTGTTAAATCCATTGCTCCGGCATAGAGGCAGCCATTTTTGCGCTTGATAACATTTGTCAGCTTGTCAACGCAAAAACATTCGTTGTCATGTTCGGGACCAATGTCATTGATAAAATTTTCTCCAATTGAATAACGATAACCGGGTATGCCTTTATACTGGATCTCCTTTTGATAAAACAATTGCACCGAACGACAAATGTCCGAACTGAAAATAAACATGGAATCCCCCTTCTGTCGGAATGGTGGATATGACGAGGCATCGGTACCATTGATTTGATTGCACGTTGATGTTTCACTTTCACTGGCATTTAGCCAGACTTGTAGATGATGATTATCGTCTAGTTTTTGAATTTCCAAAACACGCATGGGATCATCTTTGCCGGTATGGACTTCGTAGACTTCGCGGCCGGTGCCGTTTTTCTTTGAAAATAAATTTTAAATTTTATTAAAAATGTTTTTAAATAAATGCCATTTCATAACTTACGTGATTGAAAAACGAGAAAGCCAAACTTCCATCCTTAAGTTCTCGTATTGTCTTCGAGCCACCATCTTTAATTTGATTACAAATGGCCTTCGCCAGACCTTGAGGATTTATGCAAAATCTTACACCATCGAACAGATACTCCTTGACGGTGGTGCGAACAAACATCGACTTGGGATCATTGAAGATGGCCTTAATATTGGCATTCAGATGAACCAGCAGTATTGCCAGGCCGGGGTCATTTTCACCGATTTGTAAAACTGACTGGAGGATAAAACAGGCAATGAAACAATTTAGTTATGGAATTTTTTTATATTTTTTAAATTAATAAAAAGCGTTAATTTTACAAGCATTCATAAGCATTTGTTTAAATTTCAATTTATTTTTAAATAATTTTGAAACATGCAATTTCCAATATTCATTATTTTCTACCAATACACCGAATTTTTGAAGTCATGCCAAAGAAAAACAATAACCGACTGTAAGTCAACACCAAACTTACTTTTGCACTATCTAGAATATTGCTGATGACATTTTGTACCCAGTTGAAGGGTTCTAAATATATACAAGAATGTATATGTTAATAAATATTAATTAATTCTTTATATGAAAAAAAAAACTGTAAGAATATGTTAAGAGATGTTAAAAATAAATGACCGTTTCTACAAAAGCCAAGTTTCTTTTTGATACGAAGAAAAAAAACAGGAATTCAGAATGATTAATGATATAAAAATTAGAAAGTATCAATCGGCTAACAGATAGACATCTAACCCCTAAGCATAATTTTTATACCCTTCACCACACGTAGTATGGAGGGTATATTGAGTTCGTAATTCCGTTTGTAACTCATAAAAATAATAATTTTAGACATAACAAAGAATATATATTCTTGATTGTAAAATTCTAAGACGATTTAGCCCTGTCCATCTGTTTTAATCACGCTACAGTCAAAACTAATAAAGATAGAAATTTCACAGATCAGTCTTTGGTCTGCAGGTCCACGATATCGTATAGCCCCCAAATATTCGGTATTTTGATGATTGTAGCTAAATTTTTCAATGGAATTGTCTAAAAACCAATACCAGAAGTTCTTTCTAAGCACTTTACCCCCTGAAGAGCACCAGCATTTCTATGGATTCTAGAAGAGCACCAGCTCTTCTATGGACTCTAGAAGAGCACCAGCTCTTCTATGGACTCTAGAAGAGCACCAGCTCTTCTATGGACTCTAGAAGAGCACCAGCTCTTCTATGGACTCTAGAAGAGCACCAGCTCTTCTATGGACTCTAGAAGAGCACCAGCTCTTCTATGGACTCTAGAAGAGCACCAGCTCTTCTATGGACTCTCGAAGAGCACCAGCTCTTCTATGGACTCTCGAAGAGCACCAGCTCTTCTATGGACTCTCGAAGAGCACCAGCTCTTCTATGGACTCTCGAAGAGCACCAGCTCTTCTATGGACTCTCGAAGAGCACCAGCTCTTCTATGGACTCTCGAAGAGCACCAGCTCTTCTATGGACTCTCGAAGAGCACCAGCTCTGCTATGGACTCTAGAAGAGCACCAGCTCTGCTATGGACTGTAGAAGAGCACCAGCTCTTCTGTGGACTGTAGAAGAGCACCAGCTCTTCTATGGAGGCTAGAAGAGCACCAGCTCTTCTATGGAGGCTAGAAGAGCACCAGCTCTTCTATGGAGGCTAGAAGAGCACCAGCTCTTCTATGGAGGCTAGAAGAGCACCAGCTCTTCTATGGAGGCTAGAAGAGCACCAGCTCTTCTATGGAGGCTAGAAGAGCACCAGCTCTTCTATGGAGGCTAGAAGAGCACCAGCTCTTCTATGGAGGCTAGAAGAGCACCAGCTCTTCTATGGAGGCTAGAAGAGCACCAGCTCTTCTATGGAGGCTAGAAGAGCACCAGCTCTTCTATGGAGGCTAGAAGAGCACCAGCTCTTCTATGGGGGCTAGAAGAGCACCAGCTCTTCTATGGGGGCTAGAAGAGCACCAGCTCTTCTATTGGTGCTAGAAGAGCACCAGCTCTTCTATGGGGGCTAGAAGAGCACCAGCTCCTCTATGGAGGCTAGAAGAGCACCAGCTCTTCTATGGAGGCTAGAAGAGCACCAGCTCTTCTATGAACTCTAGAAAAGCACCAGCTCTTCTATGGACTCTCGAAGAGCACCAGTTATTCTATAGACTCTAGAAGAGCACCAACTCTTCTATGGACTCTCGCAGAGCACCAGCTCTTCTATGGACTCTCCAAGAGCACCAGCTCCTCTATGGACTCTAGAAGAGCACCAGCTCCTCTATGGACTCTAGAAGAGCACCGGCTCTTCTATGGACTGTAGAAGAGCACCAGCTCTTCTATGGACTGTAGAAGATCACCAGCTCTTCTATGGACTGTAGAAGAGCACCAGCTCTTCTATGGACTGTAGAAGAGCACCAGCTCTTCTATGGACTGTAGAAGAGCACCAGCTCTTCTATGGACTGTAGCAGAGCACCAGCTTGTCTATGGACTGTAGAAGAGCACCAACTCTTCTATGGACTGTAGAAGAGCACCAGCTTGTCTATGGACTGTAGAAGAGCACCAGTTTGTCTATGGACTGTAGAAGAGCACCAACTCTTCTATGGACTGTAGAAGAGCACCAGCTTTTCTATGGACTGTAGAAGAGCACCAGCTTTTCTATGGACTGTAGAAGAGTACCAGCTCATCTGTGAACTCTAGAAGAGCACCAGCTCTTCTGTGAGCTCAACAGAAGAGCCTCATCACTTCACTTCTGTAGAAGAGCTCCAGCTACTCCTTTCGCTTATTTAGATAGTTTGGTATATTTAACTGAACATATTTTTACCTTTTGTTAGAGGAATTACCAGAAAGTGTGGGCCGATAAGAGGGAATATAATTCGTTGTGCAAAGTTAAAGAAACATAGGACCAATTTTGACGCTCTAAAGAGAAGCTACCAGAAGGAGTGAGATAAGTTCTCTCCGACGAAATCAGGTACCCCCATCGACAGTAATCGTGCATACAAGGCTGATAGATTGACGAACAGGCAGATATGGCTAGATCGACTCCAGATGTCCTGAATCTATGAAGGTCCATGGAATCGTATAGCCCACATACAAATGCACCCCCGATATTCGGTATTTTGATGATTTAAGCGATATTATTCACCGGAGTTGTTTCAAATTTGGTATTTAGAGTTTGTAATGGGAACTACAGTCTATGCCAGCAAATTGTCTGTGAAGGTCCAGGTATTCGTATAGCCCCGATATAACAGTACCGCCCTATATTTGGTATTTTGACATTTTACGTACAATATTCACCGAAATTGTTTGAAATTTCTTATTTGAAGTTCCTACTAGGTACTACAGCCTGTTACAAAAATTTGTCTATGCAGGTAGAGGTCTTCGTTTAGCCCCATATATCGCTAAAATCGTCAAAATACGGAACATAGGGAGTTAGTTCGTTATTTTGACAAATTTTAGCTACATTATTCATCGTATCGAAATATTGTAACGACCTATGACAAAGTTGCCTATGCAGGTCCATGTCTTCGTGTAGACCCCAATATAGCGACTATATTGGGTATTTTTAAGATTTTAACAGAATTTTTAACGGATTTTATTTATTTTTTTTTTAAATTTTCAAATTCCCTCCAAATGGTGGAGGGTATTCAAAGTTCGGCCCGGCCAAACTTACTGCTCTTTTACTTGTTACAATTTTTTTCTTTACAAAATTTCAAAAAATGTTGCAATTTCTTTTTCGCATTTAACATACATTTTACAATGAGAAATTGTCAACAAAACTGTAAATAAAAAAGTAGTAGCTGACGTCAAAAGTTATGACATATTATTATTTTCTCATAACCGTTTATTGTTTTATACAATCATTATGAACTAATAAAAATTAAAAAATTGTCTTATCCATTACTGAAATATATTTGCAAACATTTTTGCCGAAAAATCTTCAATGATACGGACAATGACTTTGGAAATTTATGATATGTCTTAATTATCGATAAACAAATAAATATTTCACCAAATAATATATTTGATATTACCGCCAAATTAATTGGCACTTTTTCGCGAAATGCCATTGAAACGAACATACAGACAAGCGTATCATATCATATATTTCAATTATGATTGTTATCGATTCTTAATTGAAATAAATGGACCTGCTTCATATTGAAATATAGACTTTAATATTTGATTTATTTTCAATATCTGTTCAATTGAAACAATTTCCCAGCATCGAGAAAATTAAATTATGCAAATGTGTATTTTTCGCAAAGTCTATAGAGGAGAAGAACAAAATAGGGGAAGTCAAATAACAAATTCTAGATGGATTATACATCACTCTAAATGGCATACACGGTGCGACAAAAACTCAATTTTTTAAATAATTACAAGAAACTTCAGTAGATTATAAATGTAGAGGTAACAAGTAAAAAAGCAGCTAAGTTCGGCCGGGCGAACTTTTTATACCCGCCACCACTTGGAAAAAACTTTTTATAAAAAAAATCCGTCGGAAAAAAAACCGATCAAATGGAAACCGTTATATGGGTTATATACGATATCGTGGACCTATATAGTCAGCTCTCTTTCAGGAGGTAAAGTACTGGATTTTTTTAGAAAATTCCGTTGAAAAATGTGGCTATGGGGGCTATATGATATCGTGGATCGATATAGATAAGTCTCTTCCAGTTGATAAATGACTCACAAGAAATTTTTTTGTGTGGATTTTCAGACAATTCCGTTGAAAATGTGGTAAAATCATCAAAATATCGAATATCGGGGTGGTACCGGCTATACGATATCGTGGACCGATATAGCCCATCTTCGAACTTGACCTGCCTGCAGACAAAAGACTGATTTGTGCAAAATTTTAGCTTCATATCTTAATTCGTTTTGACTGTTGCGTGATTTCAACATATCCCCTAGAGAGAACTGTCTAAATAGGTCCACGTTTTAGTATAGCGCCGTTTTAGTATACAGGGTGAGATGAAAAAAATGTGTTTACAAGCGTACAACAGAATTTTGGTGAGAATTTTCTTTACATTTGGCTGGAAAACCACAAGTGTCTATCGTTAGACCATTCCAGCATTTAAATTTGAATAAATCTTTTGTGTCTCGTACCATCGCTCGTTACCGTGATACTGGTAGCGTAGCCCGACGTCAAGGAAGTGGACGGAAGAAAACAGAAACATCAGCAGAAATGGTTCGAAAAGAAAAGAAGCAACTTGATCGAAATCAGCGTCGCAGTGGCCGAAAAATGGATTGTGAGCTGAACATATCGCAATATTTCATTTGGCAAATATTAAAAATTGAGTTCGGTGTAAAGCCATTTAAATGTCAAAAAGTGCAAGAACTTACACCGCAACAGAAAGAAAATAGACTCAAAAGAGCTAAAGAGTTCCTTCGCTTTGCCGAAAGTGATGAACTGCCGAATTTGGTTTTCTCCGATGAGAAAACATTCGTTGTCCAGCAGTTTGTAACCAAACAAAATGATCGTGTTTACTTGCCAAAGAGGTCAGCTGAAAATATGCACCTTCGGTTGGCCACCAGAACTCAAGCGCCGGCTATGGTGTGGGCGGCCATAACAACCGATGGTCGCTCTCCGCTAGTATTAGTCGACCGTGGCATCAGAATAAATGCCGAATATTATGGCGAAATTATTCTGGAGGGTGTATTAAAGCCATAGGCACGCAAACATTTTGGCCGTAAACCTTGGACATTTCAACAGGACTCACCACCATCGCACTCAGTAATAGTTACAAAATTAGGATCCTTGCTTCATTTCCAGCGCACAATGACCACCAAAATCTCGGAATACAAATCCGTTGGACTATTCTGTTTGGTGTATTTTGGAAAGCAAGGTTGGCACTAAAAAAGACCAAAGTGTCGATCACCACTAACAAGCGCTTCGCCAAAATACCGCAGAGCAACATTCGGGCAGCGTGTGACGGCTTCATTGGCAGTTTGAAGGTCATAATTCGTGCCAAAGGTGACCAATTCGAACAAAGCTAAAGTTATTCTAAAATTTGATGCTATTTTCGACATTTTTTGCTTTCATTCAATGAAATTAAAAAAAAAAACAGTAAAGAAAGTCCTAAAGTCGGGCGGGGCCGATTTTATGATACCCTACACCACTTTGCTAATTTAGTTGAGCTCCACTTAATAATTAAAAGTTTTTATGGGAGAACTCAATCATACACGCTATGATTATAATTATAATTTAAAATTCAAAGGACTAAATATGCCGAAGCATTTGTATCTTTTAAATTCGGACTTGTATTGCCCATTTGGTGCGAAATTAATTTGCACAATAAATGGTAAATCGGACGAAGTTATATATGGGAGCTATATCCAAATCTGAACCGATCTCGATAAAATTTAGCAAAGGTATTTCTGAGCTGCATTTGATATATTTCCCCAAATATTGTTGTTACAGAGTGCATATTACGGCTGCGGAGGATAACAAATAACAAATCGGATGAACAATATATATGGGAGCTATAGCTATATCTGAACCGATTTCGATAAAATTTGGCAGAGATATTTATAAACTGTATTTGATACATTTCCCTGAATATCGTTGTTACGGGGTGCATATTACGGCTGTGGATAACAAATATAACAAATCGGATGAACATTATATATGGGAGCTATAGCTATCTCTGAACCGATCTTCTCCAAATCTGACATACTAGCTTCTAGACTCAATTCGGTCGTAAGTGCCAAATTTCATCCCATTTGGGCAAATATTAGACGTTTGGTGCACAATAAAAGGTAAATCGGACGAAGTTTTATATGGGAGATATAACCAAATCTGAACCGATCTCGATAAAATTTCGCAAATGTATTTCTGAGCTGTATTTGATATATTTCCCCAAATATTGTTTTTAGAGAGCGCATATTACGGCTGCGGACGGCAAAAATAAGAAATTGGATGAACAATATATATGGGAGCAATAGCTATATCTGAACCGATTTCGATCAAATTTGGCATACTTATTTTCAGGCCTAATTTGGTTGTATGTGCAAAATTCCATACTATTCAGGCTGATATTACACGTTTGGTGCACAATAAAAGGCAAATCGGACGTAGATATATATGGGAGCTATATCTAAATTTTGACCGATTATCTCCAATTTCAATAGGGTTCGTCCTTGGGCCAAACAAATGTTGTTTGCAAAATTTCATCTCAATCGGATAATAAATGCGACCTGCATTTTGTTCACAAGAATACATGGACAGACGGACGGACTGACATGCATAAATCAACTCAGAAAGTGATTCTATGCAGATCATCAAAAGGAACTATGGGTCTATCTCGTTTCCTTTTGCCTGTTACAAACAAATGCACAAAGACATAATACCCTGACCACCTTGTGGTGTAGGGTATAAAAATGTAAAAATGTAAAAAGCTACGATTCCAAGGAATCATACTGCGAAAATGTCAGGAAATATGGAACAGGAGACATCTTGCTCCCTTTATTTTGGTTATTTTGCGATGTAAATTTTTAAAACAACGACACATTGCATTTTTCCTGTAATTATTTAAATATTGATTTGTGTCAAATAGTGTGACGGATAAAATGTTCCGTTCATTTGGTTTCTGTCACCTGGATTAATATTACGCGTGGATGTCAATAACCTTATGATTGTCAAACTTTATGGTAGATTAGTTTCAATAATAGATCATCATTATGTTACGCTCAATACTACATGCAATTGTATATACAAACAATATATACATGTTAATTATAGTTAATTAATGGAGAAAAAGTTAAAATAAAAATTAGTAAAGCGTAAAGTTGTTATAAAACCAAAATAGAAGAAAGTAATAGAAAATTGGATTAAAGATAGAAATTATAATAGGATTTAAAAAAACAAAGGCAATAGTATTGAAAAAAAAAATTCAATTGTAAATATAACAAATTACTTTACGTTTCCCACGAATCCGATCCATTAAACGTTTCAAAACACGAACACCCGGCGTTCGATTCAGACGATGGTTTAAACGATTTGCGAAACCCTGTAAGATATCTGTGATTTCTCTTTCGAATACTTGTAAAAATGCCTAGAAATTGTAGGAACGATATTGAAATAGGTAAAAAGAATTACTGTTTTTTTTTTGTGGTAAATGTAAGAGGGAAGGGAGGGCAAAGATTGAGAGACTTATTGTGATGATTTAAAATAGGAAATCTAAGAAATTTTAAATATAATTTTTTTGGAACAATATATTCTTTTCAGAGCCTGCAAGTAACTAAAATTAAAATTTAAAAAATCTTGCAATTTTTTTCATTATTAATATTTTGTAGAACACTTGAAAAAAAAAAAACTAATAAAATCCGTAATATCCACTGTGAAGCAAATTTGGGTATGTTGAGAAGTTTTCACATTTTTTCAAGGAAAATTAATATTGGTTTGTTTATTTCTCTTCAGAGATGAGATTAGGGATCCGAAAAATTTGCAGTTGAAAAGTATCAGTCGGTTTTGCCGGCAGATGAATACCCTTAGCCTAGCGTTATGAGTGTTGAAACTGTTGAAAGGATGGAGATTTCTGTTTGTGAGATATTTATAGAAAAGCATTGCTGATTTGTTTCTCAAGTTATAAGAGATATAAATTCTGATAATTGTGACTGTGAGGTAGGTAACAGAAGGGATAGGCCGATATATTCCATCTTAACACCAGATTTGCGTTGGTGAAAATATTGGGATGTGTGAAATACGAAGACAATCGAATATTTATTTCGCATTTTATGAGAGATGGAATTATTTAAAATTTAGACCCGTTAAGTGGGAGGTATCAGAAAGAGTGAACCGATAAATACCATCTTCGCACCAGACTTGCGTTGCCCGTCTGTCTGGCAACGACGGACGGACATTGCTAGATCGACTACAAATGTCCTGAAACGGATTTGATCGAAAGAGACCTAGGGTTTAACACCGTAATTTCGACTAGGTACGTTTTCAAATGATACATATACTCTCTCGACTGAGGGTATAATGAAAGCCAGAGAGACACGATAACACACACATTGGTGAGGATGATTGCTTTGGAACAAGTTCGACTCTAGTTCTACCAGCAAATTTTTTTCACAGCAAATATCAATTCAATAAAGAAGTGAAAAAGAAATTCAATTATTTTCTTTCCTAAATAAACTAAAATTGCTTAAATCATCACAATCCTCTCTCTTTTGTTTGAAAACTCTATTTTTTTAACATAAACCTGTCTAAACGTATTAAAATTGTCGACTTACATTCATGTGCATATTCAAGGCCACAATATGATCAGTTTCCCTGTAGGGAGCTGAAGCTTCTTCGTCGAACACATAAAGTTGATCCTGGGTAAATGTTATCTTGGAACCATCTCTTGAAAAATGCTTGACACGTTTTCTCCGATATTGTCTTTATACAAAACAAAAATTCTCATTCGATTAGATCATTTCATTAATGCTATATTAGCTGTACTTACTTGTAGACATAGGGTCCAACTTCTTTGACAATTGGTAGGGCACCCTGTTGTACCCTCATCGGATTGGTGACATTGAATATGTACACTTTAAATGTCAAAGGCTGGGGTAATTGTATAAATCGTTTGTATTGCTCCGATCCATCAGTTATGATCACGCTCTGAAAAGAAGAATGGAAAAAGTAATTTTAATTTTTTTAATTGAAGTAAAAAATATTTTAAATATTTATTTATTTTTCAAGTAAAATAACAAGGAAACCAGTATTATGTGCTAAGATATCTTAAAATATGTAAAATTGGTTTCGTTATCTGGGGGATATACTGAAACGAAGCTATATCTCTTTTTTACCGTCACTTTTAACAATTTTCATAGACCACTTAACTTGGATTTTTATATCCTCAGCCATATGGCTAGTTATACCCTCAGCCATATTCTTATCGAAATAACGATTTTGGACCCTAGGTCTCTTTGGACCAAATCCGTTTCAGTACATTTGGAGTCGATCTAACAATGTCCGTTCGTCCATCTGTCTGTCTGGCTGGCTAGTGGGATAACTCTCAAAGGGAGTATCCGATTTGGTCCAAACTTGATACATTGCAACATTATTATCAAACTAAGATCAAGTTCGGAGCAATATCGGTCCACTCCTTCTGGTACCTCCCCCATAAAATTCCAAATAAAAAAAAAATATTTTACTGCCCAGAAAGAGAAAAGATAATTCGATTTTGCTCCAATTTTGCAAAGCCTTATATTTTCTTCAGTGCTGGGACAATATGGACAATAACGGTCCAATCCATCAATCCAACATCCATCTTTACCCCTCAAAGGTTCAACATTTTGAATAATTATAACTCTTATAAAATGTGATTTATGAGTCTGATTATCTTCAAATTACACACATTACTATATTTTTGTTAATCCAAGGTCTGCTGTGAAGATGGGATATATCGGTCCACTCCATCTGGCACCACCCCCACAAAGGGTCAGATTTTGTAATATACATGAATCTCGTAAAACGCGAAATAAACATTTGATTCTCTTCAAATTTCACACATCTTAATACTTTTACCAATACAAGATCTTCTGTGAAGAAGATATATATCGGTCCACTCCTTTAGGTACCTCCCCCACAAAGGGTCAACATTTTAAGTATCTATGAAGTTTATAAAACACGAAATCCGAGTCCATTCAGACTTGGCACATCTCTATCAACACAAGATCTGTTATAAATATGATATCGGACCATTCCGTTTCCATTCAGACTTGGTACATTTCAATATTTCCATCAACACAAGATCTGTTATAAAGATGGCAGAGTTCGAATAATTTCTTTTTCTTTCAAGGTATTGAAAAACAAACCGAAATAAGCATCCAACTCTGTTCAAATTTCACACACACCAACCTTTTTGTTAACACAAGATCTTTTGTGAAGATGATATACATCTGCGAACCCCTTCTGGGGTTCCCCAAAAAGGGTCACAATTTTCAATACTTTTATCTGTCATAACTAGCGATTCTTTACAACTTGCTATATCTAAATATTTCTCACATCCAGAAACCTGAGATGAATATGGAATTTATTATTTCGCATAAAATTGATTGAGTACCAATATTTGTACCCTACACCACATAGTGGTAAGGGCATTATGTAGATTTATTTGTAACATGGAGAAAGAAGCGAGATAGACCCATAGTTACTTTTGAGGATCTTCATAGAATCACTTTCTGAGTCGATTTTTGCAGATCAGTCTGTCTATAAGTCCGAATGGCCTGTATTTTAGTACATCCCACCGAATGCAGTCTAGAAGTAAGTAAATAAAATTTGGAGAAAATCCAGCTCTACAGTTATAGCTCCCATATATATGTTTCATCCGAGTTGGGGTTTTAAGTCCCTCATATGCGTAATATGCATTCGTCAACAATGATATTTGGTACCAGATATCTTATAGAGCTCGGAAATACCTCTGCCAAATTTTGTCAAGATCGGTTCAGATTTGGATATATAGATCCCATATATATCTTCAACCGATTTCGGATTAATTGTGCACCAAATGTCTAATATCTGTCAAAAATTCATAAATTTTCGTGCATCCGACCGAATTCGATCTAGAAGCAAGTACATCAAAGTTCAAGTACATAGGTTTAGATACAGCTATAGCTCCCATATAAATGTTTTATCCGATTTGGTGTTTAAGTCCCTCACATGCGTAATGTGCACTCCAGAAGCATGATATTTGGTATACCAAATGGACTGAATGTGGGCAATTACGACTGAATTCATCCCATAAACTAGTATCAGTATTAAATTTGTAAATCGGTTCAGATATAGTTATAGCTCCCATAGGGCAAATTTTATTGAGAATGGCTAATATTTGGATATAGCTCCCATATATATCCATAATACGATTTCAGGTTTATTATGTTAATAATGGCTAATATCACCCCATATGGAGTTTTTTTTTCTCCACGTACGTTTCGATTTGGTGGAACTCGTGATATCATGAACTCGATAGCAATGTTAGTTGGTATAAAAAGATAAAAATGTCTTCATCAAATTTGGTGAACATCGATTCAGAATTGGATATGCCTCACATATATTAGTTCCCCCCGAAACCAAATTATAACTGCTAACTGTTGTTGATGGGCGGTATGATTTACTTCAAATAAATTCTTTAGTTACGGGAGCTCTGCTAAATATGCATAGTGGTGTAGGGTACCGACTTTTGGTTTTGGTTTTTATGTTTCGTATTTGAATATTGTAATGACCTATGACAAAAGTTGCCTATGCAGGCCCATGTCTTCGTAAAGACCTCAATATAACGTCTATATTCTGTATTTTTAAAATTTTAACAGAATTTTTAACGGATTTTATTTATTTTTTTTATTGAATATTTCCAAATTTGTTGCAATAGTAGTGGGTATTTAAAATTCGGCCCGGCTGAACTTATCCGCTTTTTACTTGTTACTATTATAGTTCGACTCATGGCAAATATATTTATCAAGGGCTTTGATACCCAAAACTTAGAGGTCAATTTTATTGCAATATTTCGATATTGGGATAAACGACCTTAATCCATGTGTGTTATTTTATACGCACGTTAATTTCCCATTAATAATTTAATAATTTCCATATTTAATGGTTGCTGTTCTCTATAATCAATTGAGTGTTAGAATGGAAATTTACATAAATTGAATTTGTTTTTCTCCAAATCGATTTGTATTTCATTGATACACAACAAACGATCCGATGCGTGGGGGTTTTATCGCCGCAATCAGGAATTTGCCTTAAAACAAATTAATAATTTATTGTGTCACTTTGAATGTCTCATTAAATAAAATCTCTCCAATTAATTTTGTACTTCGTAACGGATTATCAATAAATATATGTATGTATATATATGTATGTATTTATAAAGTGATTTACGTGAAATGAGTTCAAATGAACACATCATGTATGTAACAAATGGATTTGAAAATGCAATATATTTTATTGAAATCTTGAAATTTAGTGCGATTTTATTCAAATTTAATGATATTGTAATATATAATGCTTACGTCTGTCTGTTTCGGGGATAATTCCATGAGAAATTATGTTTTTTAGATGGCAAAGAGCTATGAACACAGCACTATGGGGAATTGCTTCCTGATGGTGGAACATTTTTTAGGATAAATATCGATAACAAGTCATAATAGGAAATGACAGTGAGCTCTGCTGAGTTCAAGGAAAACTTGTAATTTGTTTCGAAATTTGTATTTTTAAGAAAAACAATAATAAACAAAAGCAAAACAAAAACTATTAACTATCAAAAATTTTTAGTTTGTTTTGTTCAATACACCATGTTATTATCCAGAATGGAACTTAAAATGTCCAATGAAAGCAAAACCTGTTGGAAGTTGCTACTATATGGTATATGGTTAACCGTTATTCAAATTGATTTATAACAAACAATTGTTGGTTGCATGTGAAATCATCGTCACAATTCTAAAAATTATTTGATATTTAATAAATTCAACATGTTTTGCAAAATTATAAACAACGCTATAATTTATTATAAAATATTTTTAAGTAAAATAAATGGTAGATAAATATTTGCACAGGAAATGTTTAGATTTCACATCTAAACATTTCCGAACAATTAAAATGTTATGAAACATGGAAATGAAGGGTTGGATGTATGAAACAAGGAGATATCCTACACCACTGCATTTTTATACCCTACACTACATGCAGGGTGAGATAAAAACCAGTAAAGAAAGTCTTAAAGACGGGCGGGGCCGACTGTTGATACCCTACACCACTTTGCTAATTTAGTAGAGCTCCGCATAACAATTAAAATTTTTATGGGAGAATTCAATCATACGCGCTATGATTACAATTGTAATTTAAAGTTCAAAGCACTAAATATGCCGAAGCATTTGTATCGTTTGAATTCGAACTTGTATTGCTCATTTGGTGCACAATTAGTTTGAAATAGGATAAAGATATATATGGGAGCTATATCCAAATCGGAACCGATATCGATAAAATTTGGCAAAGATATTTATAAGCTGTATTTGATACATTTCCCTGAATATCGTTGTTACGGGGTGCATATTACGGCTGTGGATAACAAATATAACAAATCGGATGAACATTATATATGGGAGCTATAGCTATCTCTGAACCGATCTTCACCAAATCTGACATACTAGCTTCTAGACTCAATTCGGTCGCATTTAAGCAAATATTAGACGTTTGGTGCACAATAAAAGGTAAATCGGACGAAGTTTTATATGGGAGATGTACCCAAATCTGAACCGATCTCGATAAAATTTAGCAAATGTATTTCTGAGCTGTATTTGATATATTTCCCCAAATATTGTTTTTAGAGAGCGCATATTACGGCTGCGGACGGCAAAAATAAGAAATTGGATGAACAATATATATGGGAGCAATAGCTATATCTGAACCGATTTCGATCAAATTTGGCATACTTATTTTCAGGCCTAATTTGGCTGTATGTGCTAAATTCCATACTATTCGGGCTTATATTACACGTTTGGTGCACAATAAAAAACAAATCGGACGAAGATATATATGGGAGCTATATCTAAATTTTGACCGATTATCTCCATTTTAATAGGGTTCGTCCTTGGGCCAAACAAATGATTTGTGCAAAA